GGAGGAATATTCCTTTGCTATATTCTTTTGCATTCATCTTAGATCCTAGAGCTAAAATGAAAGGTTTCAAAGCAGATCTTGAGGAGGTTGGGTAGCCTTACCAAGTACATCCTATGAAACTTACCGACTTGCCACTAGAGCTCGACTAGCTGATGTTTACAATAAGTATGAGGAGAAATTTGGATCTGTTAGGTTGAGGAGGACTGTCCCTCCTAACACATCAGTAAGAAAAGGTGCGCTTGGGATGAGATTTATGATGATGATGAAGGTGATTGTTCTGCGGTGGTATCCATCCTCTATCTGGTACTCTTAATCTGTCTAGACATACCTCTGCAATCGCCCCTCTTGCATGCCGCAAGTTCTTCTAATAATACTTACAACTGGTTTCCTACTTGGACTGTGACACATTGTTAGCCAGTTAGATGATGATTTTAACTGTTGAACTGGTGGCATGAGCACAAACTCACTTATCCGATTCATCAATCATGGCTAAAGATATTTTAACTGCATTCTGTTTCTACCATATCTTCCGAGTCCACTTTTAGTATGGTGGCGGGATAATCGAGGAGGAGCGGCGGAGGAGGTCAAGGTGAGATGGTGGAGATGCTCACCGCATCAAAGATCGGAGGCGGTGAGGCAAGGATGCGGACACAATGTGGAAGACCAGGAGCTTGAAGAAGCATTTGAAGAACTTTATCTTGATTAGTTGTCTTAGTTATCATTTATGTCTTTGGACTGTAATATCTTTGGACTTATGAACTTTGATTTAAGGACAATGAACTTAAAAGGAGCTAGGTTGTACTCTTTTTTCCTGTCTAGGGTTTCTCACAAGGGTGAGTTTTACCTAGACGGGTTTTTAATGAGGCGACCATTGCACTAAAGCTCCAATAAAATTTTATTTTGTTCTCTCGGTCTGCATTTACGTGTTTGTTATCTTCGAAGTTTGAGTTAAAGTTTGAACTTGTATCTCTCTTTGTCAAAGTGTGATCTTCTAAAATTTGATGTATTGTACAAGTTTCATTAAAATTTGAAGTTTCGAGGTGTTTGACACTTTTAGTGTTAGTGTAAGCAAGACGAGCACTACGGGTCGCCGTGCTTGATGTACCAAGACTTGCACGCACGCCTAAGCCATGATAGTGCGCGTGCACAGGCCATCGAAGAAACGACGGCGGCACTATCGAGCACGGCACGGCTAACATGCCGCGCTGCGCGTAATGCCGTGCTGGCCGGGCCGTGCACTGTCGTGTTCGTGCGATCTTGCGTGCATCGGGCGCCCGTTTGGCCATATATACACATGTGTCACTTACGGAGGTTCTTGGCGGTGGCGTGGGCGGTGTAGCCGCGGTCCAGAGGCGCGGACGAGCCAGAGCCAATGAAATAATTGGCGCCGTCACGCATGACGAGGAGGCCGCCGTCCCGGCTGCCGCCATTTTCGTTGCGCCCGGCGTTGGTGGGTCGGCTCGCCGCGCCGCTCTTAAATTCAGACGGAATCACCGGTGTCATGATCGAACCAAAGCGCGAGCGTGCACGTGGAAAGAGGCGAACAACGTTCGCCCTCGGTGCCTCGCGCGACTAGCAGCGCCCGCCCGGCGTCCACAAGCAATAGCCGCCACACAGGCGTGTCATCTGTGTGAAAAAAATCTTGCTACTCGTCTATGGAGACGTCCCAACAAGCAAAGGCTGTATCCATGGTTAAAAGTTTCTCTTTGGCGGGGCTTTCGATTTTTTTCCCCGAGAGAAGTGATTTATCTCGAGAGGTGATTTTGTGGCTGAAAGAGATCAATTCTCTTGAAATTTTCAAAATCACGATGGAGAGTTACTTCACAGAATCGAAAGAAGCTACTTTTAGCTCCTCTTTGGATTCAAATGAGAATCACTCTGGGAGCTTTGCCAAACATGGTCTTAAACTCGACCACTATGATGTCATACTTGATTATTGGCTAGCATTCGTTGAAGAAAAGTCATGAGAATCCTACGGCCTTGGCGTATTGTCCTTTAGCATTTGAGAAGTTGCTCTTGACACTTTGTAGGCCCGTTTGGTACCGATTATGGATTAACCGGAGCCGTTCAGAGCTGTTCTGCGCCAAATGGCCTCCACCCACCCAGTTTCACGCCATGAGCCCTAGAATTTTCAAATTTGAGGCAAGGAGGAGAGAGCGAGGAAGAGCCAAAATTCTAGCTTCACCCAGCTTCACTGCGTCTGGTGGGGTCCATCTTCACCATGGTCTCTTTTGCTCCCCCATGTTCTTCACGACGGAGGCGATAGCACACCAAGGAGCGACGACATGCCCGTGTGGGGAGGGGCCGACAAGGAGGGGCAGAGACGCCGGGAGGGGCAGTGTGGCTAGGGCGTCGAGGCACGGGAACACGGAGGCGCCACCGGCCGGGGAGAGCGGGGTGTGCATGAGGCGTTGTCGTGGGGGAAGAGAGGCATCGGGAGAGAGAAGACCGCCACGATCGGCGAGGAAGAAAAAGGAGAGGTCGAAAAGAAAAACAAAGAGAAAAACATAAGGGTATAACGGTCATTTTATCTTTTTCATCAGTCAGGAGAAGTTGTTTTACCAAACGGTTCCAGCTTTACCGGTAAAACTGCTTTTCGAGTTAAAATCACAAAAAACTGTTTCACCGGTGAAGCTGAGCTGTACCCGACAAGCCATTTCTCCTTCGAGACCGGGGCATCAAGAGTTGATAGGTGGAGGTTCAAAGTGCTGCAGTTTAGGTCTCTTTCTCGCTCCTGGGCCTGGGGCCACTTATTGTGTCCAATAAGTTGCAATCTCACAATTCTATGTATGAATGAGACTAATAAAGAGAAAATTAACGAGGTTCAGTTACAAAGATCCATGCAACGAAAGCAAGAAAGGCATGGTCTACAGTCTTACAGAGATGTCCATATGCAACATTCCTTCATGTGACAAAAAAACAGATTTTTTTAGATAAAGGATAGTTTATATCCGGCTTCATCTACACCAGGGTAGAATCAGGCCAATTATTAAAAAGTTTGGGCCGACAGCCGATGCACAAGAACCAAAACGACTCTACAACCAGACTCGAGGATAACAAAGCGTGAAGCAGATCCTGACTACTATAGACCAATAAACCTAGATGACAACCACCCATTGGAACTAAAAAAATGCAATGCCGACGTCTCCAAATGTTGTCCAGCAAGGGTCAATTGGTCTCGAAGATCATCATGCCGCTGCAGTCTTGCCCATTGCCTTAGCCAATGGGTTCCCCTGAATAATACCTGCAAAAAAGTTTTCGGTCTACACTTGTCAAAAATCACTTCATTTCTTGTTATCCAAATTGTCCAACATAAGGCTGATGTCGCTGTTAATAATAACAAATTATGTATGTTACCACCCGCTTTAGACCAATTAACAAATAAATCGTCTATGCTATGGGGGGTGATATCCCAAACATTAAATGTACAGCGCGCCATAGGAATTTGGCATAATAACATTGAAAAAAAAGGTGTTGAATGGTTTCTGGGCAGTGACAGAAGCAGCATCTTTTGTCACCATTCCCGTTACGGTGGGCAAGGTTGTCCTTGGTTAAAATGACACCTCTTTTTAGATACCATAAGAATATTTTAATTCTTGTAGGAATTTTGATCTGCCATAAATCTTGTGACACTCTGACCTTATTGTTAATTAACGCAGCATACAAAGATTTAACAGAAAAGCTACCTGATGAATGCAATATCCAAATAAAAACATCTCTTTCTTCTTGTAAGTTCACATCTTGTAGAGATGCAACGATACTATGCCAGCCCCTCAGGTTCCGACCCGCTAGATTGCGGCGAAAGAAAATGTTCAGCGGGACTGATGCAAGTACTTTTACCATGGAATCTTGCTTTCTTCTCACAATGTTGAACAACGCGGGAAATTTATCTTTGAGAGGTTGACTACCCAACCAAGTGTCCATCCAAAAACGAGTCTATGACCCGTCTTTTACTTTGAATGAACCAAAACTCATGAAAAACAGATGTCTACGCAATCTAGCAATTTATCCAGCATATGTTCTAGATGAGTCCTTTGCTCCTGAGACAGTCCACAATGTCCCTGATAGTTTTGTCAAAGGGAGTGAAACAAACACCCAAACTGATCAGTTTCTTGGACGGATACTTTGACCTCAATACCTCATCACCCATCCTTGCTCGTCCTTATGGATTCTGATGTGAAAACAAGAGCTTATCATATGCGAGGAACTACACCTGATGAGAAGACGTCATTTCTGATAGCCGCATCACCCGTGAACTGGGAGAAAGGGTAAAGATCAGCAAGTTTCGTCCTTTACTGTTGGCTAATTTGTTGTAAGAGAAAAATACTGTTCGTTGGCTGATAAAGTATGGCTTATAAGCCAAGTGAACATGGCGTTTATCGGTGGGATCAATCATCTGTTCGATGGACTCAAGGCATAAGTGGCGTCCTTGTGCCTTTTCTCTCGAGCCACGGGTCACAGATATATACTTTGATGTGGGATAGACGAGGAAATCTTTTTAGCCTCGAGCTTGAAATTCGTCCTCGCGAGGAATCAGGACCTTAGTACCGTCGGAGCCATCTAACCGGACCTTTGGCGTGCCGATGGGTTCTCGTACAGCACTATGAGAGATTGTGCTACATCTCTGACATCTACACAACCAATGTGGTAGGCGTCCATGTCAAGTCTCTCACCTGCATGCACAGCGTGCAGTGCACTCTTAGAATTAGTTACTACTCCGTATAGTAGTATGCATGAATTGTAAAGCAGCCAAAGTTTTGGTCTTAGACGACAGTATCGCAACAAAGGAAAAATGTAAAAATGCAACGGTGGTTGGAAAAAACGCAACAAAGGGAAAGAAAGGAGAAGAAAATAGAAAAAAAAAACGTCATTTAGAAATGTATTATTTGCGTTCTGGCAATTTATTTTCACCTTACAACAGTTTTTGAACAACACATTTTCACATTCAGCCAGCTGGATGAGATATTCGACATTTCCTCTGAAGAAATCCGCGTGACGCACTAGACGAGTCCTTTGCTCCTAAAGCAGTCCATAGTGTCCGCGATAGTTTTATCCAATGGAGTGAAACGGACACCCAGATTGATCAGTTTCTTGGAGGGGTCCTTTGCCCTCACCACCCAGTCTTGTTTGTCCTCTTGGATTCTAGAGCGAAAAGAAGATATCAGCAAGTGAAGAACAATGTGCAACCGGCGAAAGGACCGGTAGTGTTCTAAGAGATGCATATATCACCTGTAAACTGAAAATTCAGGGTAGAGATGAGCAAGTTTATCGGTGAAATCGATCATCCGTTGAGAGGACTCCAGGCATAAGTGGCGTCCCTCGGCAGATGGGTTCTCATACAGCACTATCAGAGACTGTGCAACGTCTCGGACATCAACACAGCCAATGAAGAACTCGTCCATGTCATACCTCTTCCCTGCCAAGATCACTCTTAGAACAAAAAAAAACGTACTCATACCAAATGAGCTGCAAGCCTGAAGCTTGTGTTGTTTCAGTGCAGACAACTGACCTTCCATGATCTGAAGAAACAATTGGAGACTAGCCGTGATAGAGGGCGTCAAAGTAGGGCCCAGCACCAGAGCTGGATTGAGCACAACGAGCTCCAAACCTTCGTTTTCGGCGAAGTCCCATGCGGCCTTCTCTGCCAGTGTTTTAGAAACGTTGTACCAAAGCTGCAACGATATGCATGTAATTAGCACAGTCCTAACTCCTAAGCTTATTACTAATACACTGAATGTCTGAACTGGATCGTGCATGCAAGTAGATAGCAATTCTATTGGACAAATCTGTCAGTGTGGAATGGACCTAAAAGAAAACCATGTACCTGAAGTTTCTTGAGCTGCTCAATGTCGGCCCAGGAGTCCTCATCTACGACCTTGTCAGCAGGCCACGCAGGATTTGGCACCATGGCCGTCTGCGATGACACCATGACAACACGGCCGACTCCACAGTCTTTCGCGGCGCGGAGGACGCTCAGCGTGCCCTTCAACGCAGGCTCCACCAGCTCATTCTTCAATCAAGCAGCGGAAACACCAATTTATCAACTCGGACTAGCAATTTATCAGCATGGATTTTTTCAACAGTGTCTGATTAAATATGGAGAAGGATCAAATTGCCTCGGGGTCCTGTGTAGGGTGCAGGATGACCGGAGAAGCAACGTGGAAGACGCCGCGGGCGCCCTCGACTGCCGGCCGCATGGAGGCGGGTTCGAGGAGGTCCATCTGGAACAGCCGGAGCCGCGAGTCCGCTCCATCCAGGGTCTGCAGGTGCTTGGTCTCGCTCTCGTCCTCTGAAGGAACAACCAGTTTCGATTCGGCTTCATCGGTGAACGAAGCGAGCGCAGTGGCAGGCATGCGAAGGTGTTAATAAGGAAACAGAGAGATGAACGAGCATGTCACGCACGGAGGTTCTTGACGGTGGCGTGGACGGTGTAGCCGCGACCAAGGAGGCCGCGGACGAGCCAGGAGCCGACGAAGCCGCTGCCTCCCGTCACGCAGACGAGGCTGCTGCCGCCGTCTCTGTGAGATGCCATCGCGATCGGTCTCTCTCGTCGTCGTCGACAGACGACAGGGGAGCTCGGGTAGGTGTGCCGTCTGCCGCTCTACTCAGGAAAGCAGAGGCAAACATATAAGCTCGGAGTGAAGGCAGAGACAAGCATGTGCCGTCTGCCGCTCTACTCAGAGTCAGTGCCCGGCACACCATGGCCAACCGACGTGGACAGGGACCGAGTGCACGTTTGGCGCGTGGCGAGGTCGACGGAAGCCTCTGAGGCGTGTCGCAGGGAGCCGCACAACAAGCATGCAATAGGCATACAACAAGGGCTGTCTACCTCTTATGACTTATCCGAGTGTTGTGGACGCCACCAACAGCCGGTTATTTTTTTTTAATCTGTCCATATCTCATATGTCACTCGAGTGAGTGACGAGTGACGGATCACTCTTTTTTTTCTTCTTCCGACGGATCACTATTCATCTTTCTCCTCCAGACGCACCGTCGCTGCCCAGCGCCCACAGTCCCGCCACGGTGTGGTAGGGTCTCACTCGAGCTCCACGGACACAGCCATGACCATGGGCGCCCCCGCCCCGATTTGGCCCGGTCGCCTCCACCGTCGTCGGAACCCTAACGCTGCCCTCCCACCGTCCCCACCGCCTGACCAGCCTGCTTCCCCCGAGCCCCTTCTAAGGCCGTCGGATTTGAAGAAGAACATCACATGTCGTTCTTGGATTGGGTAGATAAATTCGAGTGAGAGAAAGACTCAAATCACACGAGGGAGCTTAAGGCTGTGTTCGGCTGGCTGGCTGGCTGATTGCCGGCTGGCCAGCCACCTCACAAAATTACTATTCACATTCTGCCAAAACAATATTTTTCTCTCACAACAATCAGCCGAAACAGTATTTTTCAGTCCTGCCGAACAGACCCTAAGCTTTTACCATTTTTTTAGACTCAACAACAGTTTATTGGAGCCGTGGAATATAACTGAAAACAGCACATCAATAATCGAGTGTTTCAGTCGAAAGAAACATCCGAATTAGCAGCCATTAGATTAGAAGCTAACAGACAGATGTATGTTTTTGTTTTGTGGATTGTGCATTTCTTCATAACATGTGGCCCGTTGGCAAAGCAGTCCAGACGGCCTGTTATGTCAAGATTAATCCATATATCTATATTGAAGAGACAAAATTTCTTTTTCTTATCTGGTTCGTCTTTCTCATATGTCCCGTTTAATAAACTCGGTTCCGTACTAACGACCTACCAAAAGCCCCCAAAAACTTCGTGATAGACTCGTGTTCGATCGTTCACCTATGCTTTTGTCCTCCCAAACCATAAAAGAGTCTGCACCGTCCCTATTTTCTCAGATCTCTCCTGGCCCCTTTACAAAGTCAAATACAATACATCCGGTCAATAAACTTAAATCGGACATCAACCAGACTATAAATAGTACTAGGCATCGGCACCTACACTCATCAAATCGGTCAGTGCCTCTGGTCAACTACCTAGTAAAGGCAAAAGAAATACAAGTGAAATATGGAGTCAAAGATCCGTGCATATGATTGAGACCAAATCAAAGATCCATAGGCACGGAAATAGATTGAAGCCAAGAAGACAAAAATATCAATGAACTAATCAGATCGGTACCCATGTACACAAGCATTTAATCATCTAGACGGGATGTCAAAATTGTTGGTTTAATCAAGCAAAAAAAAAATAGAAATTGGGGGTGGACAGTGGAAACCGTTAACAAACAATTTGGATACTACTACTAATAATATACTAATAAAAATGAATGCTTATATTAGACGCATGTTTGAGAACTCTAAAAAATAGGAAATTGATCATACATAAACCCAATCAATGTAAATATTGCAACCCTAATTACTAGCACCAATATTAAATAAGTCTATTGCAATCCCTAACCAGCATGTGGATGTTGCAATCCTAACCATAATAGATGCTGCAATCCTAATCACTACGTTTGAAGGAGCCTAACCACTATGCACGAATAAAAACACGTATTATTAAGGAGGACAAAATATTCATAGATCTTGAACGAGTCCATAAAAAAACTAAAAAAGAAGAAAGAAACCCTCAAGAACATGCACATATATATTGGCTAGCTAGTCCTATCATTCCAGAAGTATAAAAGAAAAGATATACACAGACATACATATATATATATATATATATATATATATATATATATATATATATATATACACACACACACACTACTTTACTGGTCTTAATATTATTGACGGTGTATCATACAATACTTCATTGTTTATAGAGTTTAATAAGAAAGGAAAGACAAACAACCTCAAACTTTAAAAGGTTTACAGTACCAACTTTTTTTTTGGAGAAAGTATAGAGTACCAACGACGAAAGTATATATAAAAAATGGTAGATAATCCTCCGAAGAAACCGGCAGCCAAACTGCGATGGTGTCCAGCCGGCCGGCCCGGCGGCGATCAGTTGTGGTTGTTGTTGTTGATGTGCTGCACTGCCGCCAACGCCTGCTGCCTGATGACCGTGCGCTCGAGGGACTGGAGGTTGCACCGGACGATGGTGTCCACGAAGATGCGCGTCTCCTCGACGGTGTTCCCCTGCGGCACGTCCACCACGTAGGACTCGACAACCATGGTGAGCGGCCCGTTCTGTGACGCCGCCTCATGCACGGTGGTCACCGAGCGGTAGTTGGCCAGGCGGTGGTCGCCGCCCAGGATCCGGAAGCTGATCACCCGGCGCTCGTCGTCCCGGATCTCCAGCCGCTCGCGGCTGTTCTCGGCGGGCAGCCCGGTTACGACCTCGAGCTCCCGCACGGATCCCACCTCGACGCCGTCGCCGTCCACGACTTGGCAGCTCCTGATGAAGTGCTTGTACCCCTGCGGCTGGTCGAAGCGCCGCACCAGCGACCACACCGCGTCCGCCGGCGCCGCGATGGACCTCATCATGACGGAGCACCACTGCCCCGGGGTCACCGTGTGCTCGTGGTGCCGCGCCACCTCGGCCGGCACGCCCGCGTGCCCCGCGCACGCCACCGGGGCCCTCCCGTTGGTGACCACACGGCTGTGCTGCTCCGGTGACGTCCTTGTGGCTGCTGCGTACGGCATTGTCGATCTCGAGCTAGAGCCTCGCGCGTGTTCTTGATCGGTCGAGTTGTTTCTCTCTGCAAATAAGAGGTGAAGATTGGATTAGGAGGGATGAACAAAGGAAACCATGCATAGCCATGAAGGTGTTATAAGTATATAGTAGTATACATTATTTTATCCATAGGAAATCAATCACTCTATTGTTACTGTGCGGTTGGGTGAGTTGATGCGATAGTTAAGGGTTACTCTAGATGGCTGGGCTGGGAATAGTCAGTGCAGTTTTGGGGATGAGAGAGTTTTGACCTTTTGGTTTCCGACGGTTGGTATGGAGTAAAAGCCTAAAAGGGAGGGAAGTAGTTGTTTGAACAGTTTACTGGTGATTACCGGATGGACCTGGGCAAAACAAAACAAAAACAAATTATTTGTTGGCAATAAGAGACATGTTTTTCCTTCTAAAAAAATAGGAGACATGTTTTCAACTTGGAGCTAGCATCTACTAGCATTTGTGACATTAATGAAGTATGACCTCGAAAATATATTCATGAATGCAAAATGTTTTAAGCATACATGAGGTCCTGATCACATGGCTAGGTAGATAAGCAATTGGTAACTACTCATGCATGCATCTAGTAAGAGAAAATAAGGCCTTTTGAGCATCACACGTGTCAAATCCAATGGTCTAGAATTCGGTTGCTGCAAGGAGCCAAAACATCCTGTTGACGGATAGCAATTCTGTTATAAAAAAAAAGGATTGCAGAGTGGAGAGCTAGGGCGACTTCTCTCTCATATTGGGGGAGATTGATTTTGATGAAAACATGCTTAGCACCAGCCCATTTACCTCCTGTCTTTCATCAAGTTCCTCAAGTGGGAAATTTAGCTTATCAATTCCTACATGGCTCATTGCTTGTGGAATGACTGTGAAGGTCATAGGGTTTACCATATGGTTAATTGGTCCATTGTTTCCCTTAGGAAAGAGTATGGTCGGCTTGGTGTCCCTGACTTGAGACACCTTAATATTAGTCTATTAGCTTCTTGGGTAAAAACACTAGTACAGAAAGGACTTTCGGTTCAGCACATTAGTCTCGGCTAGAATTGGACATGGGACTAATGTGAGCATTACTCCCGGGTTCAAGTTTCTTGGGCAGCAGAGGACCTTTATTCCTGGTTGGTAACATCACCAACCAGGACTAAAGAGCCTTGACCCTTTAGTCCCGGTTGATAACACCAACCCAGACTAAAAGTAGACCCTTTAGTCTCGATTGGTGTGACCAACCCGAACTAAAGGTCTTTTTAGTACCGGTTGGTGTTACCAACCCGGACTAAAAGTCCTCCAACGAGTTAGTTGAAAAGGAAAGCATCCCATCTAGAGTCACATGTGTCGTGTAGGTGGGGCGAAAAGGTACGCGCGAGGCAATGCATCAGGTCTTATGTTCGAATCCCACGCAAGACACGCAGAGGTTGGGAGACATTATTTTTTTTATCCTTGGAGGACCTTTAGTCCGGGTTCAAGGCAACAGGGACTAAAGAGTCATGCCTTTAGTCCCGGATTCGTAGTCCCGGTTTCAACCGGGACTAAAGCCTGTTCTCAACCGAGACTAAAGTCCTTCTATCTACTAGTGAAAGATATGCTTCAGAGATGACCAGCTATGGAAACAGATCATAAACTTCAAATATAGTACTACAGGCCCTAATATCTTTCATGTAAAGATGCTAACAACACTCATTTTTGGAAGGGTTTGTTCGGGATGCACAAGTAGCTAAAATAGGGTACAAATGGAAAATTGGAAATGGGAAAGGGTGATACTTTGGGAAGACAATTAGTGGCTAGACTCATCTAACCTTGGTATAGTTTTTTGGGACCCTTACTTATGTACTGATACATGAGCAGACCGCTACTATTGTGTAGCTGTGGAATGAGTCTAGGCTGAGATGTACTTTTATAATATGTGGAGATAGCAGCTTGTTATAAAGTGGGAGGAGGTCATCCAACTTGCTTCCACTATCTCTTTTAATGAGGAAGAGGATGAACTAGTATAGGCTCTGTTCAAGGGTATTTAACTTGGATGTGAGAGAGAGAAATCATAGTTAGGAACAGGTTGTGCTCTGCTGTAAGTTGGAGCTTGTGGAAACTCACAAATAACTCAGTTCTTTTCCATGCAGGAATTTGAGTTCTTTGCAATCACTATGGTGACCTATGTTATCAGTGATCAAGCGATTGGAGCAGTTATGCCCCACGGGATACCTACAACAATACAAGGAGGCCATCTCTAGACTAGAGGAACTGGCAAAACGACATGAGTGACTCCTGATGAATGGATCGTGATCGAAGACATGCTGGGGTGCTGGGTCGGCCCTAACACAATACACGCTGGAATGGAGATTGGACAACCTGCAAGTGTGGCCTCCAGCCCAATGTCATGCTCTGATGTCTCTGCCATGGTACTCCTCAAGGGAGAAGCTTTTGAAACTCTGAACTACAATGTTGTACTACAACCATTGCTTGGCCATGATAAGTAGTTTAATGAACCAGGGGATGTCCCTCTTGAATTCTAAAAAATGAGCATATGGATCTGCATGGTAACCTTATAGTCCAATGTCCTATTGTAAGATGTCTATACAAATTGTACCTAATTCAAGTATATTTGCATCTCCAACCCTTGCACTATTCCATATAGATTGCAAAAAATTAAGAAATAAGAAATAAATGAGGTGCATAAAAATAGGGGAAAAGGTAAACTAAGAGGGTTCTTGCTTTTCCATAAAACAAGGCTCCACTTCTTTTGTTAGGCAAGGTATGAAGTAGGACTCGATTCAAACCTTCTATTCCAATCAATGGGCGATGGTGATCCTACGACGGGCAGTGCTCAGGTGTCATATCAGGTTTTGGGATTGGATGTAGCGGTTCAATATTTTGGGTGGGTAGGGGGAGACAGATCTGATGGCTGCTGAGGTTAGAGGTATGGTCTCCAATTAATGATAGCGGCGGCAAGAGGTCAAGAGGCAGAGGTGACGGAGGTGGCGGATAATGGAAAACGCAAGGTCAAGAGGCAGAGGTGGCGGAGGCGTCAGATCGGACGGTTTGGCACTCGACAAGCCTTGTCAAAGAGGTTAAGCAATAGGATTTGAATGGTGGCAGTAGTCACCTACCTCGCATAGAGATCCTAGCAACAGAGATGGTGTGCTGCACGATGACGACGACAGTGGTGGCGGCGGCGGTGGCAAGGAAGACACTGAAGACCACAGGAAGTGGGTTCGGTATGTGAGAGCAATGGTTGATGGCGGAAATGGCAAGGGGATGGGTGAACTGGTGAGGGAGGTGAAGATAAGGAAATCAGTGGGTGGATGGGTGGGTGGGGGGGATGAATGTGGATCGGAATGTGGCTTGTAGGTGCGCTCGTTGCGTGCGGAAAGGTAGGGTTTGGAGTGCAGGGAGGGCTATTGGCATATCGGTGTGCGTGACACCGCCCACCGCCTACCGCCCACCTTTTGCAGGGCCCACCAAAGGATCAAGCTTTATTAGGCTTACCAAGTCATTCCATGTTGGTTGATAATTATCCCAACCTATGAACTCTCTCAAAAGTTTGATTCCACTCTATGGGACCATCACAATAGTAGAAAATAGACTAGTGAATGTTGGTTCTTCTACAATTTTCTACTAAATATAGCACAACAGGAAACTAAATACCATCTTTACACACAATTATCACATTTACATTTAAGGCCTTCATCAATAAGATTGTAGGGAATGGGTGGTATCCACGTAACCCAAGAGACAGAGAGAGGGAGGGAGAGGAAGAATTGGGTCACTTAAAACTATCCTAGGTTCTGCTTAAACTGCTCGCTAGATAATTGTTGACACCAACGGTGGCAGATAAATAAAACCGCAAGTGCATAGAATCATTAATGTAGCTTTCACCCAGGACCAAGAGTATTCTAGAGTATCAATTTCCACAGGAAACATGAAATGAACTACTAAGAATCAGGTTCGTCCTACGATGCCACAAGGGTATATGACATATTGGATAAAGAGGATTTCTATGTTTATGAAACTAGAAAGGTAATAAAGTAGTTACAAATGTGGTTCACTTCGGGTCACTAGATGCCACTTAGCAACGAAAAGGGATGAGAAGGGTGCTAAACCGCCAAGCAAGGGTGGACCTACGCTTTAAGAACTTACTAGACATGGTGGAATATAGAGATCAGATAGGGTTGTCACCACTTGCTAACTACCAAGCCAAATCATGGGGCAAGCCGTACACACAAGTAAGCGTATAGCATAGACACCACATCTACACTATATCTTACTAATTTAATCCAGATCTCAATGCAAGCAATTGGAGCACTCAGGTGTGAGCGGTGAACCCATGGACAACTATGTAAAGCAGTTACCTAACCCAAGGATCAATTACTATAAAAATATTGGATGTTTACTTACAACAAGCCAAGATCCGCCAAGGTACAGTTTGGGGAAGATACCGATAGGACGGCTCTCCCCCGCACTCTCCTCACTCTCTCCCTATTTTCTAAGCTCTAAGTGGAGTACGGCTTCGTCTGTATATGATTGGAATGAGTTGTTTCTCCTTGGTGTGTTGAGAGTGAGGGAGTCCATATCTCTAAACTAACTCTCCAAAAATTAAACCACGCCACCGCCAACTATCTATGTGGACATGCTGATTAAAGTTGCAAAAAAACTCCCTCTCGACTCTCTCCCCTTACGGACCCTCTCTCTTGTAGTCTACATCTCTTTGTCTATTCCATTGGTCGCTGAGTGTGTGCCTCCATAGCACAGGTGTAGCCGCAAGGCCGGCGGTGCAAGCAAGCACGCGGCGGCAGCCGCGAGACGAGCATGGGACCAACATGAGACAGAGTAGGGAGTGTACGTGGAGGGGAGGGGAAGGGAGGGATTTTTTCTGCAAGTTTTACCTGGCCTCATCCACGCTGGTACAACCACGTAGGCATATAGAGATGATGCGGTGGGATTTGAACATCTACTCGGACGCGACATTAGTTGAAGGACCTAAATATTCACTTTTTTAGGTAGAGGATCCAGGTGATAATCCACAGAATAGAAGCATAACTCAAATCCATTGAAACAACTAATCGAACAGGATCTATGCCGCTCATGATCGAGAGCATGACTAGTAGTTTTGAATAACTCTGCAGAGCTTATGCAACTTCACTCATGAGTTGTGATACCCATCTGCCTAAGGTAGCTAACCTCTGAAACACTTCCAAAGTGAGTCGGCAAGGATCACTATGAAGCCTTTCCAAAAATGCCCTATCAAGTTAGTAGAAACCACTTCTTACAAATAATCAATATGATTGTTTACTTTCCGCAAGTCATGTACTGTTTACAATTACTCATACAAATCTTTCAAACAAATGTTGTTACTAGTTTTTTTTTTCTAAAGATGCTATGTTTTTTGTTATTTGTAGTAACATATGAACATTTAGCTATTAGTTACTCATATAAGGGATCAAAACTTATCCTAATTTGACCAAATTTATTTTATCTATACTCCCTCCATACTAAAAAATGAAGTCGTTTTGGACAGCGATACGGTCTCTAAACCATAATTTTGACTACTTATTTTTATAAAGATATTTATCAAAAAGTGATATATGTAAATTTTTGTGAAAGTATTTTTCAAGACAAATCTATACATATGGTTTTCACATTTCCAAACTCAATAACTTAAAAGTTATTCATGAATTATATTCTCAATGTTTGACCCAAATCTTGTCCAAAACGACTTCATTTTTTAGTATGAAAGGAGTATCTGCCATATTAAAGAAGCAAATTGTAAAACTAAATCTCATAATTGTACCTAATGAAGTTAATTTGGTGTCTTATTTTTTTCTATAAATTTACTCGAACTTATAATAGTTTAACAGAGGGAGTATAATCATTATTATGATGATAAAAATCCTCAATAAATTGAAACCCGTATCTATAGAAAGCTTATTATAATGCTCTACTAATTGAGCCACATCTGCTCCATACAGGATTCTCCCAACTTTTTTCTTTCAAACAAAGTATACATTTCTGGAAGTTTCATTTCTGCAAACTTCATCTTTGAACACCTAACTCAGGCAGTGGTAGAACATACCACACAGAAAAGCGTTCCGACGTAACTTGACTATAAACTGTGGACAAACCAGCATATATACCACGCAAAATGAAGTCTGGCAGGTCCCATTTCATGTACCAGTAACTTCATCTCGATTCAGACGACGCACACAGATTACGGCGGCGGCGGAAACCTGAAGTTCTGAAGTCTGAACGTAGTTCAGCTTTGCGCGTGCGGCCGTGCCAGATGGGCATGTCGGAAGTGGAATGGAGGGAGCTGGACGATCCCATTCAGGCCTCTACGCTCCAACATCCCGTGAGCTTGCAGCTTGTCCCGACTCCCGACAGACGCCAATCAACAGGCAAGCCCTTCAATTCAATCCAATACATCATCCATATATTGTTGTGTCATTGTGTGTGTGTGGCGTGTACACTTTGTCCTACAGCAAATATTGATCTGTAAATTGTTTTCTTGCGGCAAATATTTGCTTCAAACAAAATGAGAAAATCAAAGAAAAATAGAAGTCCTCACTCCAAAGAAAATCAGGAGTCGCTCTTGGAGTATCATGCGTATCACAAGAAGCAGAACAATTATATTCATACAAAACAAGCGGGGATATAGCAACCAAAATCGCTTCCAATTTACTAGAGCCAAACCATATTGGGATATTCAATATAGAATCTGAACCACGCCGCACAAATCTGAAACAGGAATCTGAACTCCAAGATAAAAAAAAATGTGCCAAAAATTGCTCAGCATGTTCACTTTGCGCCAAATTCTGCACAATAACCAGCACATGCTTTGCATGCCGTCCACCAGCAGTAAGCATAGTCTTCGGCTCTACAAAGACAATCAAACCATTAGTCACTAGGGCTGTTTGGTTGGGAGATTGAAAAGTTGCCTGGGCTAGGCAACCACTCCCAGGCATTGGATTTCATCAGCCTGTGGAGTCGAGATGTCTGCCTGGCTGTTTTCCTGCCTGGGAGGCATCAACCAAACAAGGCGTATTTGATTTGAGGAATTAAACCATTCTAAATAATATGATGCTCATTACAAATGGTTTTTGAGCTGTTAGCTGATGGTTTCTGTAGCTGATACTGATTTGTTGTGAGACAAAAAACACTGTACCATGGTTGATAAGCCGGGCTGATAAGTTCAATTCCTCGTACTAGTGCAATTATTATTCCCTCTGTCCTTTTCTATAAAATTTCATGCATATTAAGCTTTTCTAAATTTAACTAGATTTATATAAAATATTAGTAAACGTTTGTCTCTCCAAATAAGTATATTATAAAAATATATTCAATGATTAATCTAATTATACTTATTATACACCATAAATATTAATAATTTCTTGTATATATTTGGTCTGTTTGACTCTTCCTCTCACGGCATCAAAGTTGAGTATGTGAGAAAATATGGACTAACACATTCCTCAAATCAAACACCATAAGGGCGTGACATTTTTTAAAACCGGTACGAGAAGATATGAGAATCAGCCAAATATTCCCAAAATTTACTAGGCATGCAAGGGCCCTCTAGCCTAGAATATAATAAGCACCCATAAGACTAGGAGCGGATTAAAGCGGAGGCAAGCAGATCGTTCTGATGGCACAGGCACACCCTGTTCTCCTAGTCCTTTTGCTCTTCCTCTCCCCCACTGCCGTTTCTTCCTCCAAGAGAATTCAGCCGAAGTTCTCGGCTATCTTCTACTTTGGCGACTCGGTTCTTGACACCGGCAACAACAATCATCTCCCCACGGTGGCTGTAGCGAACCATGTTCCTTACGGAAGAGATTTCCCAGGGAAGAAACCAACAGGGAGGTTCTCCAATGGCCGGCTTATCCCAGACCTCCTCAACGAGAAGCTGCAACTCAAAGAATTCTCGCCGCCGTTCCTGGATACAAGGCTGTCGAACAACGACATGGTGACAGGGGTGAACTTTGCATCAGCTGGTTCAGGATTAGATGACCAGACGTCGCAGCTGTCCAATACTCTACCAATGTCCAAACAGGTGGACCTCTTCAAGGACTACCTCCTCCGGCTCAGGAACATTGTTGGGGACAAGGAGGCTTCCAGGATCATTGCCAGCTCTCTGATTTTTATCAGCTCAGGAACCAACGATTTCTCACATTACTACCGTTCGTCGAAGAAGAGGAAGATGGACATTGGTGACTACCAAGATCTTGTTCTCCGGATGGTACAAGTTCATGTCAAGGTGAAAATAGGCATTTCCTGCTTTTGAGTTGTCTCTACTGAATTCTTCTATTACACTTCAAAAACTGGGCATTACTTTACTTTCAATTCCCTAAATTTGAATGCAGGAATTATATGACCTTGGGGGCCGGCAATTCTGTTTGGCAGGCCTTCCGCCGTTTGGTTGCACACCTATCCAAATCACATTGAGCAGAGACCCTGACAGGGCATGTGTGGATGAGCAAAACTGGGATGCTCAGGTCTATAACTCTAAACTTCAAAAGTTACTTACAACGTTGCAAGGTTCACTCCATGGAAGCAGAATTGTGTACTTGGATGCATACAGAGCTCTCATGGAGATCCTGGAGAACCCAGCCAAATACGGTAACGTTTTCTGTTAATGCCATGGCTTATATACACTAGGAGGCTAGAACTGAGATGGAAATTGATCACAGACTTAAAGTTCTGAAACAAAATTCAGAGAGAATGCCTTAAATCCTAGCCAATGCAGTAGTATTGTGCTAGACTTGGCAGCCAAAACCTAGTGGCTGGCAGAAAACCATTTAGTAATTCAATTGCAAAATGCATGATTATTAGTATATTTTAGTTCTTTCTTCATGTCAGCCCAGAGTTTGACTTGCTGTTAACCATATCAATTCTGACAAAGGTTTGCCATGGTAACAGGATTTACAGAGACAACACGGGATGTTGCGGGACTGGGCTCAGAGAGGTTGCTCTGTTTTGCAATGCATTGACTCCTATCTGCAAAATGTATCATCCTATGTATTTTACGATGCTGTGCACCCAACAGAGAGGGTTTACATGTTAGTAAATGATTACATAGTCAAATACGTTATTCCACAGTTTTAATTAGTCAAATACCCAAATAAGGTTTTCTCCTTGTATTAAGTCCAGTATAGAAGAGCTTCTCGTATGTCACCTATCATGCTATGCATGATGTATTGATGTGTTATTGGATTACTGAACAGTGGATTTATGAGCACTAGGTAAATAACTGAGTCTCCCCCAGGATGTCAGGTATGCATTTTACAAGTGAGGAATAATATACTGGCTACATCATGCTCATATTAGTCATCACAGATTCACAGACGTTTGATCACATGCAGAGCAAGTTTAGTAGCGAACTAAACTTCCTTACAAATTTTAGTCTTCTAGGCTCATAGTAAATAATACTAATGATGGTAAAATTAGACCAACCTAGGAGGAACTAATTGCTAGCATACTATGATGCTTGCGTAGGAGACCCAGTTGCTACAGGAGTTCATCAGTTCATTTGATCCTAGTTAGTGAAACATGAATCACTGTAACATACGTATGTCAAATTAATAGAGATGACTGAGACCAAACAGGCCCTTAGAAACACAACTTACAGTACAAACCTGAGAAATTAAACAAAAGTCAGAAAGCCGCAGCCAGAAAAGCCACTCTATGACTTGGCCATTGCTTTGAACAACCGCTGAATCCGTGACTTCACGTCCTCAGGTCGCACATATGAAACCCCTACAGCCTCTGTTGCCTTTAACATCTCAGTTGTATCCCTGTACACTGGAATAACCAGCTCCTCAACCATAATGCTCAAATTCACTGCTTGCTGCTTATCCACCAGTACCCACCGTGACTGCACCTGGCAAATCGCTTCCACAAAGTTATGGAAGTGGTTCAGTTTCTCTAACATAATACTCAAACTACTGTCAGATCTTCTGTCAGTCTCAAGTATCGCTATGGCCCTCCCCCAGGTAGCCCGGCGGTATTCCAACACCCATTGCTGAACCTTTGCAGATATTACCCTGATCCAATGCTCACCCAGCAAGATCTTAAGCTCGCAACCATTGACTTGATTATATAGATCCCATTGTTGATCAGGAAGACACAGCCAAGAGGAGCATGACCATAAATCCTGGATTTGGACTCAAGATTCCCTATCAGCACATCCACAATCCAAGCAAAGCGGATTGCCAGTGATGATGTGGACGGTCAGGGTCAACTGGACATGTTTCAACACAACCAAACTCAACAAGCATCACTCTTCCAGAGTATGGCGAGACACGCAAGCTGTCATAAGATAGTTTATCACATACCTTGTTATCGGATGCAATCCACCATCTCGTGGTGAAGACTCGCATGGATCACAGCGTATCAGTTTTTCTAGAGCCACAAATATGCCCTTAATTGACAATCCAAGGCATTCACGAAGAGCAGCTACCTCATGATCAAAGGCTTCATCAAGGACAGGAAGAATATCAGTTAAAGCATCATACATGTCAACTATGCGGAAGAGACACTCCGGGTTATGTCCAGCAGCAGCAATAACTTTGGCAAAGGACAGGAGTTGAAGAAATGGTTTGCATGCAGCAGCAAAGGCAAGGTTAGTGTAGGATGTAAATTCTTCAAAAATGCAATTGCATAGGTGACGCTCACTTGGGATTAAGATGTGGAACACAACACGTATTGCAGGTATCCAGCGCATGATCTGAGTCTCAAGCTCCTCCCATGATGTTGACTTGCACAATTCTTCGAAATGAGCATTAACCCCAAGTCGAGCAATACTCTCATCAATGAAGTTGCGGCGTGCAGAAGCATAGGTCTCCGCGCATGTATCACCAAAACCAGCAGCGATCATCCTTCTTGCGATTCGATTTGCCTCAGTGACTACACCCTCTGGTAAGGCATCAACAATGATGTCAAAGTTTCTAACTGGTTGGACTACAAAGGTGTGGTTGTCATCTTCATTTTGGCTTCTCTTGAAATTGTGGTCACCATGGTCATCACTGAAGCCAGATGTACCCACCAGTTGCTGGAACTCAACCTTAAGCCTCGTGGAACATCGCTCTAGAAGGAGATCAAAGCTCTCAAGGAGCACATGATCCGCTGAGGTGTTCTCAAGGCCATGGATGGTGGAAGTTAGTTCATCCACAGCTTCTAAAAAGGCGTCAGCATCATCAGAACTGGACCAGAGAGACCGATCCAAGCTCAGGAACTGGGAAATCAGATCATTGAGTGCTTGCAGAGTTTCCTCCATGCCAATCACTAATGCTACAAAGCAAACACCCTTAAGTCTATGCGGATCTGTAACTTCAAATTTGTGAGCCTCCTAAGCCTTCAGGGCAAATCATAGAAGAGGATGGTGCAACACAGTTCAATCATCTCCAGTCTCTAGCTGGCAAAATGGACCAGTTCAAACATTTCATATTCATATTCATATTCATATCATAAAAGAACTAAGAGTGTGAAACGTACCTCACAGAGCGAATCTGAAATTAAGGATGCAAAACTTTATCTTCCTAGTAGCACCTAGATGCATCCAACTTGACCTCCATACAGATGAGTTACTGATGTTCCAAATGATGCAAAATCACAACAGACCACCATTTATGTACGAGCCTACGAGGTGCAATGGGCGGTGGATACGGACAAAACCATATGCTGTTGGTGGCTGTTGGGGGTCACAATGAGCTTACCTCAGGAATAGCAACATCCAACCACACAGCCACCAGGCATCACTTCGTGGCAATTGTACTCTTTTGACTTTTCTTTCAACCAATACATCAAGTAGTTGAAATCTAAAAGGCAAGCTTTGAGAAACAACACAAAGGTTTGCGTGGAAAAAATACTTCCTCCGATCGTAAACACAAGTCCATCTGGGTTTGTCCTGATTTTTTTTTTTAACCGGGGAAACAGCAGGGGAGGCCCCCACTGTAAAATTTGTATTGAAAAAGGGAAAGAAAGCTGTACAAGAGACTTAAAACTGTACAAACAAAACAGCAAAGTCTAGCTAGCCTGAGGAGGGCACTGGAGCTAGGCAAGAGAGTCTACAATCTACAAGAAGTAAAAAGGTGAGTTTCTTTGCAGCACACAGTCGATGAGCTTGGAGTCTGGCTTCTCTGAAATTGAGCTTCCAGGAGGTAAAGGATGGACAGGAGGGCCCCACTGCCTAAATATTTTTTTTTAAACTTTCATTATTATCAATATCCCAAAATTCATATAGATTGACAATGCAAGTTTAATGCTACTAGATTCCTAATAAAGAATACTTTTATAATATATCAATTTATATTTAAGATAATGGCCCCGTTCGCGTGCCCTTAAACCCAGCTTGATCTGCTTCTTTTTTCATCCGGAACAGTGTTTTTCTCTCACAAATTCCTCCAGCATTCCTCCAAACCATCCAAATTCTTCTAGAATTCCTCCAAGCGAACAGGCCCAATACTTTTTTACACATATTATTAGTCAAAGTGCAATATTGAGACTGTCGCTGTCCTAATGGACTTATATTTGTGATCCGAGGAAGTCATAGGACCTAATTAGTAATTACTAAATTCAAGGATGTGCTATGTCTCACGGGCGCATTGTCAAAATCCAAGACCAATTCATCCATAGTTAGAAACTTAGAATAACCAAATAAAATAGTGCACAACACAAATATATTCAGAAATAGTGTGCATTCTACTCGTCTTTCAGTTATGTCAACTGTCAACTATCCTTGAACTCTTGGATTTTGCAGGTATGTACTTGCACACATGTAATTCTATATAATGCTTGATGTATTCAAGTAACCTTTCTTAATCTTCTTCCATATTCCTTCTCAAAAGTGAATTTTAATAGTTTACCTAATGGAATCCCTTATTGTGGTTCAATCTATAACACATAACAACTTTCTCTTACAACCTTATTATGTGAATCCATTCACAAATGGTAAATGAAATTGAAGATTTAAGAATCATGATTGGACCAGTTGGGGCAAAAAGGCAGGAGAGAATAGATTAGATTAACTAGCAATTGTTCCTAGAATAGGGCCTATCACTGATACCACTGGCCATTGTAAAAGCTGTGGAAGTGGTATTGAAACAGTCTTCTGCCTTTATAATTTGTTCACATATGTGAAGTTACTAAATATGAAATACTAAGATAACTAATTTAAGTAAAAAGTACACACAGCACACCTAATTACTCATAGCTAAAGGAGAAATCAAGCCAATAATAAGAAACAAACAATACAACACATTAGGTTAAAATTACCAGTTGATACTTGGTACAGAAACACCTACAACTACAAATTTACATAGCTGGAGACGATAGCATTTCCTCATCTAAGACAAAGTCCAGCCTTTTTGCAACACATCATTGAGCCCAGAATGTCACCATAACTAAGGTTGTGATATCCGTTAAAATAGCTATAGCAGTAAAATCAGATAATTAACTAATCACTTGGCCACTCCTTCAAATAGATGTTGGATGCGTGCCTGAACATCCTCTGGGGTGTATTTGATGAACAAGTCTCGGGCAGCTTCAGGAGATGATCTCAATCTCCCAATTAAACCTCTATATGCAGACATAACAGAATCCGCTATCGCTGACTTAACATCTGCTCGTAACTGCTCATCTGCAATCACCCAATCGGACTGCACCGTGCAAATCTCCTCCAAGTAGTTGTTAAACATCTGCATTTTCTGAAGCATGGACTTTGTAGTGATACTGCCAACGCCAGGACCTCCAGTCTGCAGCACTGATATGACCTTTGCCCAGGCCCCACGCTGGTACTCCATACTCCACCTGCGCACCCTGCTCATCATCTGCTTCATCCATTCATCACCAAGCAAAACCCCAAGCTCACTGTCATTCACCTTGTGAATAATGTATTTCCCGTTATTCATCAAGAATATGGAAGCAAGTGGTGGATCCCTGTATATCTTCGATTTGGTCTCCAAATTCTTGTGAAGCACATCCATGATCCAAGCTATGTGCACAGCTAGTGACGAAGTAGGGCGATCAGGGTCAACAGCAATAGCCGCTGTGCCAACAGCACCCAAGTCACCTTCCATCACCTCTTCCAGTGTTTGCCGCGAACCACATGCCGCACGGAGATAGTTCATGACATACCGAGTGATTGGATGTATGCCACCACCAGGCACAGCAACACGGGCTGGGTCACGGCGGATGAGATTTTCCAGCTCCATGAATATACCTTTGATTGAGGAGCCAAGAGTGTAGCACACAGCTGATACCTCAGCACGTAGAGCCGCAGAGTAGGGATCAGAGAAGACAGGATCGAGGTCAGGAAGGAGGTCTCGGACTGCTTCATACATGTCAATAACACGGAAGAGCCGTTCTGGCGCGCGGCTGGCAGCAGCAACTGCATCTCCGAATGAGATAAGCTGAAGCGCCTGGGTGCGCACGGCGGCAACAAAGGCAAGGTCGCCGTACGGAGCGAGGCCTTCGAAGACACGATCACAGAGGCGGCGCTCGCTGGGGATTAGGATCCGAAACACCATCTTGAAGGCTGGGATCCAGCGAGCAATGTCGAACTCGAGCTCCTCCCATGGCAAGGAGTGGACCTCGTCGGCTGTACGGGAACGGATGCCGAGGCGAGCGACGCTCTCGTCGATGAAACCGCGGCGTGCGGCCGCGTATGCCTCGGCGCACTCGCGGCCAAAGCCAGCGTCCACCATCCGCCGGGCAATCTGGTGAACATCAGAGACCGAGCCCGGCGGGAGAGCATCGATGACGATGTCGAAGTTCGAGACCGGCCTCGCGATTGGGATTGGCTCGTCGCCAAAGCCGTCATCCGCGTCGTAGTCCTCCTCCTCGCTCTCATCAGACCCGAAACCACCGGGCACCTGAGGCGCCGCGTCGTCGGGGCGCTCGATGAGCGCTCGGAACTCGTCCTCCAGCCGGGCCATGCACCGGCTCAGCAGCTCGTCGGCGCGGTCGAGCAGTCCGCGGTTGGTCCCGGCGGCGTCCAGCTCCTGCACGGTGCCGACGAGGTCGTCCACCGCCTCCAGGAACGCGTCCGCGTCCGCTGAGTCCGCCCAAATGAGCCTGTCCATGGTGACGAACTGCGAGATCTGCCGGTCCAGCGTGCGCACGGTCCGCTCCAGCGACGTCACCGGGGGCATGGCCGCGGCGGCCGACGGCGCCACTGGAGGCGGCGGCATGGGCGGCGAGGCCAGCACGGAGCGCTCCCCAGCAGCCCCTCCGACCGCGGCCGCCGCCGCAGCGGCGCGCGTGGCGTAGAGCTTGTCGAGCGAGAGGCGGCCGTCGTAGTTGGAGAAGACCTTGAGTATATCCTCCGTCATGGTGTCGGTGCGGCCAAGAGTCTGGACGATGTGCTGCACCGTGGCGAGCAGCTTCACCTCGCCGTCCTCCGCCATCAGCCGCCGGGCGAGGTCGCCGGACGCCTCTCCCCCGTCGATCAGCGCGAGGTTCCGGCTAGGGTTTGAATCTGCGGCGGAGAGGGCCGGGGGCGATGGTGGTGCCGTGGTGGTTTATCGGGCAGTGACAAGGATGGCCGCTCACTGCTCTCGAACCGGAGTGGAGGCGCCGTTGGAGTAAATTGTCACGCCGACGCCGGTTACAGAATTTACCGTACCCCATGCCTGGGCGGTAACTCGCGGCGTGCGGTGGATGCTAGGCTGGACTTGTAGCTTGGACGGTCGGATGAAGTCGGTGACGGAAGTATAAACGGGAACGGACAGTAAAACTGCGTTAACCTCGGGAGAGGAGAAAGCCGGGACCGGTGGCGGCGGATCGGTGGGTGGGGAAAGCATAATAAATGCAAGCGCAAGCGCAACGGCGCTCTCGGAGCAGAGATATTTAAGGGCCTGTTCGGTTCCTGGAAACCGTGACCATGATGTAATCCGGCCAGGATCGGGTGTTTAATTTGTGTTCCTGACTCTTTTTTCCGGCCTCACGAACGGGCCCTAAACGTTCGCTGACAGGTAGGGTTACAGCATGGGGTTTATGGTTTTGGCGTCACGTTGGTGGCAAAGACGGAGGACAGGACGAGGATGCCCGTGATTGACGCGAAAGCGAGATGCGGACCACAGTACCACACCAGGCTCGGCTTCTTTGGGCCGGTTGCTAGTTTGTTACCAGGCCGAGGGTTGTACCATCTCCCAGCTCAATGGCAAGGCTACCAATTAAGGCCTACAGCCCAATGTGGCCCAGTACAAAGTTAGGTCTAGGCCCACGGATTATTTCTGCAGATCTGAACGACGCACCCGAAGGAGTTATCGTGCGTTCGTGGGGAAGCCATGTTCTAAGCACGAGACATATGGGTCAGCCTGGACGTTTTTTCATCGAAACCGAACTCATGGAGTACTATGGTTTATTATCAAGAATAAACTGTAAATTTATAATATTTGATTTGAACATTGAATTGTTAAGTTTATAACAGTCTTGAGTCTTCAAATAATGTCTGTTGTTCTAAATCCTGTCAAGAATGAACTGCTGTCAGTTCTAAATCATGTCTGTTGTTTTCTTGCATCGGTTTATTCGGTTTTAACTAAAAACCGAACCAAAATTGGTCGGTTTTTAGAATTTCAACAAACCGTTCAGGGGTTATTTTTTGGAAACCGAAATTTTGAAAAAATCAAAAAACCAAACCAAACCGTCGGTTAAAACCGAACGCCCAGGCTGACGTATGGGCCCCGTGTTAGCTGCGTAACCACTGTATAGTGGTGACGGGCATAGAAGCACCAACCTGCTGAAGCATAAAACGAAGGAAACCACCGCTCGTTGTCGTAGTAGAAGGTCGAGCCAATACCAGTTCAGATTCCGCAGAACAAGGCACCATGGCCTCGGCTGCGACGCCTGCGCCTTTGCTCCCCGTGACCAGCACCGCTGCCGGCGGCGGCTCCGCGACTGGCCTCTCCGACGCGGCGCTCGCCACGCCGGCCTTCCGCCTCTTCGTGAGCCGGCTGGCCGACACGGCACGGCGCTCGCTCGCGGACCGGCGGCCGTGGACGGAGCTGCTGGACAGGTCCGCCTTCTCCAGGCCCGACTCCTCTCCGAGGCCACCTCGCGGCTGCGCCGCAACCTCGGCTACTTCCGCGTCAACTACGCCGCCGTCGTCGCCTTCTCCCTCGCGGCCTCGCTCCTGGCGCACCCCTTCTCCCTCCTCGTCCTCCTCGGCATCCTCGGCGCCTGGTGCTTCCTCTACGTCTTCCGCGCCCCCGACCAGCCCGTCGTGCTCTTCGGCCGCACCTTCACCGACCGCGAGACGCTGCTCGGCCTTGTCGTCGCGTCTGTGCTCGCCTTCTTCCTCACCTCCGTGGCTTCGCTCATCATCTCCGGGCTGCTTGTCGGGGGCGCCATTGTCGCCGCGCACGGCGCCTGCCGCGTTCCAGAGGACCTCTTCCTTGATGATCCGAGCGCTGCGTCCAATGGAAACACCACCAGCAGGCTCATCTCCTTCCTCGCGTCGCCCGGATCTGGGGTTTGATGCGTCCAGGACCGGTAGGATTCTTGTGCTCGGGGAATTCAGTTGAAGTCAAAATCGATAGGGATCTCAGAAGCTGTAGAAACTAGCTCCTTGCTCATGTGGTACTTCACTGCGAGTAGCTATGGGTATGGATCCGATTTTTCTGTTGTACTTTTTGTGGAATTATGCAAAGATCTGCAAGAGCTGTACTTCTCTTGTACTTCGCCAAATCTGGTGACAATGAGCATTAAGCATTGTCAAATTGTTAACATGTATTGGTGTGCTCTTTACATTCATCATTCATGTGTACATCATGACAAATTTTATGGATCTCTGGTTATTTCTGCCTAATTAGAAATTTGATCCTCGTGTACAAAATCCATTGTCAACTCTGAATGCTTAGGGGCTGTGATCAGTATTTGATGTTGTATGCAATATTTGTCGTTTTGATGTTCTGAGCAATTTTGGAGAGAACATAACTAGTACATATGTTCTAAAATGGTAAAGTTGTACATTAGTTAAGATCTCAGATAGATTGCATCCTTTTATTAGCATTTTCACTCTCTACAATTGTGCCGGAGTTTACAGAAATTACAGGACATGAAGGTGCCCATGGGGCCAAAAAAAAATGGGTGAACCAAAAATGTGGCAAAGGTAGTCATCCAGCTAAATCTTAAGCTGGCATAAAGCGTTGAGTGAGATGTGTATCTGTAATCCTAAAGCTATTGAGCTAGTGCCCTAAACTTAGAGAGTGCTACTTGTATTTTACTATGGAAAAAACAACATTGCAAAAGTTTGCTTGGCTGGAGTTATCATGTTCTTGTTCATCATAGTAAAATTGTTTCAATCTCCCAACAACACATTTAGCATTGATTTTTTTTTTTTTGTTGAAATTCTTCCTTGCAGTTAAAAGTAGGGGTCTGTTCTAAAATTTGCTGCCGTATGATGCTGAAATTGTTTTGATGTATCCTTCAGGCTAACAATGTGATTCTTGTTGAGTGCAGATTCCTGCATAAATATACTGTATTTATGTTACATCAGTAAGAGGGACCAACCTAGCAGGAAGGTGGTTTCATGGTCTTGTCTGTTTGAATGACCCATGACTAACTCATGATACGTATGACTGACATTTGTGCTTTGGATGTTGTTTAAGATTGCTTATACTATACTACACAAATTAATATTGATGCCAAATCAACTGTAGTAGGATACTAGGATCCCAGCGTGGTGGTTGACCTGGCTAGAAGATGCCAAATGAGAATTGAGGTTAGTTTTCACACGGCATTGCTTATGTAAGTATTGATCATGTAGGAGTATACTAATTCCTAGCCTATGTATAGTGTGGCTCATCCTTTGTTTAGGAGGTAGCATTTACCAACCTTTGGAGTATTTGGTCTTGTTTCTTGCATTTTCAAGGAATATGTGGTTTGGAAGTAATCATCAGATATGGACTGCGTGATCTGATTATATCAGCGGTGATGTCTAATTCATAGGTAAAGAAATTTGGTTGTTGGGTGGCTTGATTCTGAAGTCTGAAGCTCGCTTTCAGTTTGGGGGATCAATACTGCTAAACCCATGTAGGAGGTGAATTTGCAATTGAGACTTGCATGTTAGTACTTAATAAGTAATATCCATCTTCAGTTTTTAAAATTGTTTTTAACTGAATAGGTTTTTAATTGTTAGTAGTACAACTAGTATGTTTCTATTTGATCTGAGTTGGAGGCGTCAGCTCCACTTTCTGGTAACAATGGGTTATATTAGTTGCAATCCCTCCATCTAAATGTCCTTCATAGGTATTGAATAATGGTTCTGAATTTTCTTATACCTCAGGCTTGCAGTCATCAATCTTGAATTTTTCTTAAAGAACAGTGTTTAAATTTGCTGTTGCACATCTCAGATTGGTTGTTTCGGTAAACAATCATACAAAGAAATAATTTATTCTGAAATAATATGCTGAATGTCATACATAGATTTACAGTGGAGAACTTCAAAACAAGCTGGAAAATCAAGTCCCCTAGAATTTAGGATCACGAATAAACGCCCAAAAAAAAAGTTACAATTAACATACAACGTGAACAGGCTTCCAATTCCTCAGCATAGTATCTTCTGCTGATCATTAGCACATGGGAAGATCAACTGGGGGCGGCTCCAGTGACTGCAGTTCGCTGTACCCGTCCTCCACTAAGAAAGCCATTGCCAGGCCCCAGGTGATGTGCACGTCCAGATGGCAATGCATGAGCCACACACCTGGGTTGTCGGCGACGAACTGGATGACTGCCCAGCCGTTGACAGGCACCGCCACTGTGTTCCGCTGCGGCGGGTCGACGTAGTTGAACTTCTCGACGTCCTTCTTGGGGTCGAAGTTGCCGAAACCCTCCGCGAGGATGAAGAAATCATAGCCATGGATGTGGATGGGGTGGTTCTCCGGCGTGACGATGCTGGTGTCCTGCAGGACGACTTGCACCACGGAACCGAACCTGAGCGGGTACAGCTTGGTCCCAGGGACCGGCTGCCACAATGCCTGGCTAACGTTCTGCGCCGTGTAGTCGAACTGCACGGGCGGGTACGCCGGGAAGTCGGTGGTGAAGACGCTGGGGATCTTGTAGTAGTGCGCGTGGAGGAGGGAGTCGGTCGTGGGGAAGACGAAGGAGACGTTGTTCATGCTGGCCGTGAAGCGGGTGTTGTTGTTGGGCCCCTTGCAGAGCTGGCCCGGCTTGCAGTTGAACAGGCCGAGGCCGACGGTGAAGAAGAGGTACTCGTCGACGTTCTCGTGGATCTTGACCCTGTTGGGGCTCTTGATCCCCGCGGCGAAGGCGGTGGCGGCGCTGGTGTCGTTGAAGGCCGGGAGCGCCGGGAACGCCGGCTGTATCTTGGGGCCGAAGTCGGAGGCGCAACCGCAGTCGTACTCGATGACGGCCGTGGTGGTGGTGTTGTCGAAGGCCACGTTCTGGCTGGAGACGTAGGCGCGCGCGGCGATGTAGTACCGGGTGGGCGCCTGGTCCATGGTGACGAGGACGTCGGTGGTCTGGCCCGGCGCGATCATGAGCACCGAGGTGGTGAAGGGCTTTGTGTAGGACGCGTCGGTGGCGACCACCGTCATCTTGTGCTGCGCGATGGTGACGAACAGCTCGTGGTTGAGCGCCGCGTTGATGAACCGCAGCAGCGCCGTCTCGCCGGCCTTCACAGGAATGGCCGTCGTCTCTGCATGCCGATTGCCGAGCAAAGTAAAGACGCATTAATGCCAAAGGAGTTGAGCACGGATGGTGCTCTGTTTCATGCAGGGTTTATGCGTGTCCGTGACTCCGTGTATAGCATGCACCCACCCAAACATGCATGGGCATGCGAGATGAGGTACGTACCTTTCTGGGAGCATTTGAACAGGTCACCGGGCTGGCCGTTGATGGTGAACGCGTCGGAGACGTTGGGACCGCCGCCCGTCTTCTGCGCCTCCCGGATGACGTCGATCGGGTTCGCATCCCACCACTCCCCTGCCCATCGATCGATCACCGTCAAGAGTTTCAGTAACTAGTACTCCGTTACGTTGTCATTGGTTGGTCAGATTAGACGTGAATGAAGCAGAAACAACAAACGAGTAGAGGAGATGCAAAAGCAGGTAGAAGAAGAAGAACAGGGTGCAGACCGAGGATGACGGGGACTTCACGCGAGGGCTTGGCGAAGGGGTAGGTTTTGTTCTCCCTGGGGCGGATGATGAGCGCGCCGTAGACGGTGGCCCTGAGCCAGGAGCTGTGCGCGTGCCACCACAGCGTGCCCTCCTGCCCCTCGATGGTGAACCGGTACTTGTAGCTGCCGCCGGGCTTGATGGGGCACTGCGTCACGAACTCCGGCCCGTCCGCCCACCCAGTCCTCATCTGCCGGATGCCGTGCCTGCACACACCATGACACCGTCATGCAATAAGAACAGAAGCACGCGCATTGATCGACCAGACCACATGATCGAGACAGACCGGTGGATGGTTGAGAAAGTGAGAACGAACAGCGAAGGAGGTGTATTACGTACCAGTGGATGGTGACGTTGTACTGCGCCCGGTTGACGACGTTGATCACGAGCGTGTCGCCCTCCCTGACCTCCAGCGTCGGCCCAGGGTACTGCCCGTTCACCGTGATGATGTTGTGCGTCTTGCACAGCCTCTTCACTGGCGTCTCTTGGACCTTCATGATGAGCACAAACATACATCGATCAGGCAAAAAAATGTTTCACCTGCGCACTGAAAACACAGGTCTACCAGGCATGCATGTATTCACGCCGTGCCACGTACAACGAACTCATGGTGGTGCACTTCGGCGTCCGCCGCGAGCAGCGCAAGCGCGAGGCACGAGAGGAGAAGGAGCAGCCGGGACGACGACAGCGACGCCATGGCTAGAGCGAAAATGTTGCCGCGTCGGCGTTCGCTCGATGGAACCGCGGGGGCTTTGCTAGCTAGTGGTGGCTTTCCTCTGAAGGTTTCCGAGTTGGCGATGAGAGGCTTTGCCACCGAGCACGCACGGAATATATAGCGTTCGAGGCAACGCGCCGGCTCTCCATGCGTGTTCTCCTCGTCCCTTGGTTGGTCGATTAGGTTTCGAACTTTTGAATTCGAGCATGGGGGAAAATGTTACCAGCAGCTGGCTGCAGCGGCCACATCCCAGTGCAAGTGACTGCGCGTGCAGCTCCAAGCTGATCATGTCATCTTGGGATCATTCAAACTATGCAGATGGTTTGGTGCACCCACTGGCCTGCCCCCTTTGGCGCCGCGATTTCACAGAACAAGGCAGTTCTTCTCCCACACGCTTCTGCAAACAAGCCAACACCTACTGTGTTTACGTTGTCATGTCTTTCAGTTATTTCATTTGCGTCGACTTTTCAGAGTTCTTTCTGGTGATCCAAGCATTCAGCATTTCGCCGGTCAGCATTTGCGTTGAATCCACGGTACAGTAGATGCAGTGGAAAAGGCCCTAGAAGTAAACCATTTCATGCAGATCAGGAACAGTTTAATTTCCGGCTGTCACCGATCTACTGCGTTCCAATTGGGATAGGATTTTTGCATTTGTGCATCCTGTTACGCATCTTGGCTTTGAAACCGTAGAGTCGAGGAGTGTTTGTTTGTTGACCATCTCCTTCGTGGTCGATTAGTTATTCTGCCGCTATCATATATGCTGAAACTTGTGGGCAAAGGAACTTGGCTTCGAAACACAACACAATGATTACGAGTCAATCCATGACGTTTAGACTTACTGAGTGTCTTTTTTCTGCCTATGAATTGTTGGCCAGCATAAATCTAATGCCTTGAGCTTTGGCGGTATATGTTTCTGATGCGTCGGCAATAGAAACTGGTCGAAGTCATTTTGTACTGACTTTTTGATGCGAGGAGGTGGATTTGGTAGCCAATATTGCAGCGAGTGTCAATATATGTTCCAACAAATCTTCGGAAACAATCTTTTGACAGAAACGATGGCACCAAATCCGATTGCTCAGTGCAATATATTCCAGATGCCACGCGTTTCTGGCTTTCGTTTCCCTTTTCTTTTACAATACAGCGAACTTTTTTTTTTTTTTTGGAGAACTATGAAATGGTGAACTTGGAAGCTAAGGTTATGCTTGCAACAGATCGATCAGTAGTCATGAAACGAACCGTTCATCCATAAGCAAATCAGGAAAGCAGTTTCTTTCTTCTTCCTGTGCTTTTTTTTTCTGCATCTGGCCATTGCTGAAAATGCGTACGTGCTGCTGTCATTTGAAAGTTGAGACTCTGAAATGCACTGGTCCTGAATTTGCAAGAAGGTCAAACAGAAGAGATAACGCTAGCTTTTGCCTCAGCAGTTGACAATTGGAAGCGAACACTGAACTCTGAATAACATAAGAAAAAAGTCAAAAACAATGTTCTTTGGACCCCAGCTGTGCAAAGCCTGCATTTCGCCGTCCTTGACCGCCCAACCAGGCAACCATGCATGAGGTAGGCTGGCAACCTGGCGAATCCGGGCCTTTCCGGCCCCCAGCGATGCGTCAGAAGACATGTCCAGGGAGCCGGTAGGAACGGCAGGTGGGAACAACAAATAAGCATGAACCAACCACCACGATCCCTTTGCAAAGTTCCTATCGCTCTGATCAGAATTTTCATTCAGGTGGTTGGGCATCCATCCATTCAATCATTTTCATTCCTGGAATTGCCATTTGGTGATTGCTGTCAGCTCTACCACCCATGCTCCATGTGTTTCAATTTTCTTTTCTACGGCAGAGCTGCTTTGGAATGCATTGGACTTTTTTTTGTTCAAGGTTGGATACGCTCATGCTTTCGTTTTCTGCAAATACAAATGCACTTTAGGATACCTACTGTGGACTTTGGACGGAGATGACCCTTCTGCTTAAAGCATGTTGCAGGCCTGCAAGTAGGGTAACTGTTGTGCAGATTTATTTCTGAAGTATGCTCAAGCCTGCATTAGGGTAACTGTTGTGCAGATTTATTTGTGAGTAAAAGTCACGAGCTGTCTCTGGACTTGGACTGAGTCCTAACCTTAGAATTTTAAAATTTAAGTTCCCGAACTTGTATGCCAATGTCGTCCAGTCCTCAACTATTGAACATTGATATATGGTTCCAAAACATGTATAACAATTTCATCTAGGTCCATAAACTTGTCCTAGATGCTAACATAGGTCTAAAGAGGCTCCTCCATGCGCTGATGTGGCACCGTGGTTTCGTACGTGTGGGACCCACATGTCAACGTTGCTCTTCTCACTCTCAAACATCTGCCTTCTCCACCGCGCACAGACCATGGTTTCTGTTGGGGACCGATACCAGGGTACCCGAAGAGGAGGAGCTAATAACCATCAACACTGATTCGTCCGAGCAGTCAAGAGTGCGACTACAACTCCACCCGACCTCCAGGTGTGCAAACTCCGCCTCGCCAGACCCCTGAGAGTTGGCTCCGCCTCGCCTGACACCAAGGCCGCGGGCTCCGCCTCACCCGACCCCTGAGGGTGGCTCCGCCTCGCCCGACACTGAGGCCGCGGGCTCCGCCTTGCCCGACCCCTGAGGGTGGCTCCACCTCACCCGACACCGAGGCCGCTGGCTCCGCCTCGCCACCTGAAGGCTGGCTCCGCCTCGCCCGACACCGAGGCCTCGGGCTCCACCTCGCCCGACACCCGAGGGCTGGCTCCGCCTCGCCCGACACCGAGGCCGCCGGCTCTGCCTCGCCCGACCGCTGAGGGTGGCTCCATCTCGCCCGACACCGAGGCCGCAGGCTCCGCCTCGCCCAACACCAAGGCCGCGGGCTCCGCCTCGCCTGACCTCTAAGGGCTGGCTCCGCCTCGCGCCGACCCTTGGGTTTGGGCTCCGCCTCGCCCAAGGCTTGGGTTCGCGCTCCGCCCCACCCGGCCTCCAAGGAGGAACTCCGCCTCGCCCGACCCCGATGCCGGGGGCTCCGTCTCGCCCGACGGAGACCCATACCGCCGCCATCCACTAAAGGTCCAAGCATATGGGCCTGGGTCAAAACTCTGACGCCAGAGAAGAGACTGGCACGCCTCAATGTAGCCCACAACCCACGACGGGACATACCTGGGGGTTCACGTCAGGAACAGCATCGGGCGTACCGATACTATTCTGCCTAACCCCCGTACGAACACTGACGGGCGCGTCAGTTCGACATGACGTCCGCCAGGACAGAGTGGAGCGCCATGACCGGTAGACGACGCCAGCACGTGGTGCTAGTGATGGACAGGACCAACGACGGGAAGCTATCCCTGTTGACGTCTATAGGGTCGGCGAGACCCGCATATAGGAGAAGAAGGACCCGGCGATCCTGAAGGACTTCTTCCTCTCATTCTCTTCTTTTCCCTCGACTGTAACCCGTGCTTTCCCTTGGCCTATAAAAGGGAAAGCAGGGCGTCCCACAAGGGGCATCGAACAAACGATCGCAACACATTGCATCAAACCATCGGACTCGGATCCGATAGATCCATCAAACCCCAAACACGCAGCGAAGCGGCGATCGAGCTCTCGGCACCCATTCATCCTTTCCATCGGAGACTTAGGACATGTTCCTCTCTCTCCCGTTTGTAACCCCTACTATGAACTTTCAGTGCTAGTAACACGAGCAGCAGCAACGAACTGGACGTAGGAACATTCTGCCCGAACTAGTATAAACCTCATGTCCTCTTAGCACACCATCCGAGCCAGACACGCAATATTAGAAATTTACTTGTTGGTGTTTACTCGAAACACCGATAGTTGGAGCGCCAGGTAGGGGCCTTTTGCGCATCTCGACATCCACACCAGGCCTCGGATGGCTAACCACAACCTCAGCTGGGTCCTGGGCACGCACGTGCATTTTGGGGATCTGGACTTCATCGTCACGGCGGAAGGAGAGTTGGCAACGGCTCCCGCCGCCGTCCGACCTCTCCACTCAGCGACCTCGACACGATCACTGAGGCACTTGAGGAGCTGCAGCTGCACGCACTGGAGGCTCGCGCCCCCGGTGTAACAACCCGGGTTTTTGGAGAAGCCAAAAATACGAACTTTTTAAAATTTTTCCTGCAATGTGTGAAACATGTAATTGCTAGGTCAAACACGAGTCCAACTTGCTAACAAGACGTTGCATACATGTAGATGGTTTGTAGGTGATTGCCGGAGTTTTTGAGTTGTCCTGTGATTGAGTCTTGATTATTGTTGGAGAGCACAACCCATAGCAGCCTCCTTGTGATCCTCGCGGGATTATTTTGAGTCTTCCGTGAATCTCTCTCTATAATCCTGAACCCCACTAGAACCCGGACTTGCCATTTATATTTGTGCCGACCATTGGACCGGAATCCCTAAACCCTAAGATCCCTAGAAGACCACCACGATGAGTAAGCATGTTGTTAATACATGCGGGTACGCACATATAAGACCTAGGAGTAGGAGAACAAAGGAAAAGACACTCTCCTCTAGTCGCCAGTGGAAATCATCTTGAGCCCCTCTTGGAGCTCACATCTCGAGTACCATCAATACCCTCTTGAAATTCCTATTCAAACTCCATGCAGATTCCCCCGAATTTCCCCTCAAATTCCCCCTTCGAGTCTTTCCGAATATCCCCTGGAAAATTCCCATCCGAACACTCATGGAAATTTTGTCTTGAGTTTATATGAATCCTCAGAAAGATTCCTCGAACATCGCCTTATATTTCACCTTGAAACCCTTCCCAAGATGTGGTGAATTCTTCTCAAATCCAAGTTCAAACCATTTAAACATAAATTGGAAAATCTATTCCTTCTCTCTCTCTCCCCTCACGCCTTGGCCCTGCCCATTGCTTTCCTTCCCTTCTCCCTGCACCCATTGACCCAGTGGCGGAGAGCCCAACCGAGCCCCCCTCTCTCCTTGCCAAGCCGTGGCCCGGCCTGCCTCGC